TATAAAGGAATAGCTCCCTTCCAAAATAGTTTTCTGATATAAGGAGACCTAAGCACGCTCGTCCCGGATTTGCTTTCCAGATAGTAGTACCTTCTGTTTCCTTGAAACTTTCTAAAGGGAAAGTTTCCATTTCTCTCTGTTGAAGTCATACCAGGTCCCTTTTCTTGTGACACTGGAAGGACAAGAAGGCCTCTTTCTGCCCTGTTTATTCCTTTTTGTTTTTAAACATAACAGGCTTTCGGGTCACCTCCAGCAGCTCCCAGTTCAGCTCACGCGATTCAGCACATCTCTCTGACTCTGGCTCTGCTGATGAGGTTGATGAATTTGAAATCCAAGGTAAGAAGTGACACTTTGTTACAAGGGAACTTTTATTTCCTGTTTCTTTCCATTTAGAATGATAAGCTGCAAAGTTTTTCCTAAGTAGAAGATCTTCATTATGGATTGTTACTAGCTATTGTAAGGGACAGCATTCTGCTAAAAACAAAACCCCTTTACAACTTCAGTAGGAAAGAGCACTGGAAGCAGGTGTTCCAGGCGGAGTGGCTGCTGGCTGGTGTCACCCTGATGCTTCCTCCTCAGTGGTATCTTTCTCTTGGGTTCCCACTCTGACTCCTCCTTTCAGCTTGTAGGACTGGTCCATGCCACTTGGAATTAGAATCCTATTCTCTTGGGTTCCATAACACAACTGAAATTGTTTCAAAGTGTTCAGAAGAGAAAAGGACAAACAGAATCATTGGGGGCAGGGGGACAAAAAAGGAACAAAATCAGGCCTACAAAGTGAGCTTGAATTTCCGCCCTTGCAGTGCTCAGTTGCTTAGCACAGGCACAGACTCTTGTTGTTGTTGTTGTTGTTGTTGTTGTTGTTGAAGTACCAGCATAGAGGAACAGTGGGGTTCCAGTCTGGGAAGGCAGTTGTGTTAAATCAGGTTAAGGTCCCGTTCCTGCAAGTCATAGATTTCTTCAAGTTCATCAGCAAAACAAACACACGCACAAAAACAGTTCAGGGACACACGCTCCTCCCTCATGGGCGAGACCAACAGTGGTTTCCTTACTGCAGTGAATGGTGTCTATAATTGTCTGTTACAACATTGTGTACGTGGACAGAGGTGAACTGTATCTATAATTCTCCATTATAACATTATAATGTGATGACAAATAGATCTCGTGTTGTGTGAGGCTTTGATTTCCTGTTTACACAATCTAGAGAACCCATTCGCCTGCACAGGCCTCCGGATGGAGGAACCACACGTTTGTTCCCTGTTCAGAAACTCTGTTTTTCCACAAATTTTCCAGGTATTCAGGAAGTCTTCCTTCTATGTTCTCCTTAATGTCTCTGATTTCTATTTATGACAACAATAGGTAGTCATTAAAACTCCTTTTGTTTGTTTGGTTGGTTGGTTGTTTGTATGTGATGCTCCATCTCCTCTCCAATTCTCCACCATCAGCTGGGTGACTTACAATTTGGTTCTGACACTAACTCCCTGGAGTCAGCACAGATCCTGCAGGCTACAGTCCTGTGAGATTACTTCTGCTTCAGATGCCAGACACGGGTCACCAAGCTACCTGCCCTTCTGCTTGTAGGCTGACTACAAATTCACACTTCCCATGACCCCTTTTCCCCAGGTGGGATAATTTGCTTGAATGACACCCAGAACTTGGGAAAGCTTAGGATTATAGCCTGTTGTAAAGGATCCAAACGAGCAGCCACATGAAGAAGTACGTAGGGCCTAGGAAGAGATCACGAGCACAGGAACTCCTCCTGTCCCCATGGTGTCTGGGGGCACCACCCTCCCAGGTGCATTGATGTGTTCGCCAACCAGGAAGCCTGGACATCATTGTTCCAAGTTTTTATTGACGTTTCATTATATAGGCACCATTGATTAAGTCACCAGCCATTGGTGATTGAACTCAGTCTTCAGTCCCTCTCCCCTCGCTGGACCTGATGGGGGAGTAAAAGTTCCAGCGCTCTCATGATGTGGTTGGTTCTTTTGATAGCCCCCACTGGTGAAGCTGTCTGTCTAGGGGCCTGCCAGGAGTCTCCTCATTAGCATAAACTCAGGTATGATTGAAAGGGGCTTCTTTTGAGTAATAAAATATATTACTACAATTCAAGAAATTCCAAGAATTTTAGGAATTCTCACCAGGAACTGGAGACAGAGACCGAGTATCTATTTTCTGTTATACCACAGTCTGTGATTGACTTCATCTCCTAATTAAAAAAAGAAAGAGGCCGGGCGCGGTGGCTCAAGCCTGTAATCCCAGCACTTTGGGAGGCCGAGACGGGCGGATCACGAGGTCAGGAGATCGAGACCATCCTGGCCGACACGGTGAAACCCCGTCTCTACTAAAAAATACAGAAAACTAGCCAGGCGAGGTGGCGGGCGCCTGTAGTCCCAGCCACTCGGGAGGCTGAGGCAGGAGAATGGCGTGAACCTGGGAGGCGGAGCTTGCAGTGAGCTGAGATCCGGCCACTGCACTCCAGCCTGGGCGGCAGAGCGAGACTCCGTCTCAAAAAAAAAAATAAAATAAAAAATAAAAAAAGAAAGAGGGTCTGACCTCGCTCCCAGGATCCACAGCCGGAATTTCAGGAGGAGAATAGTGAGGTAAATTCAGATCAGTCCACGTGACAACCACATCTGTGTCCCGCAGCACAGCAGGGATCCGGGAGGCTGTGCAGTCTGTAAGGAGCCTCTCGACAGACAGGCCCAAAGCCACTCCTGTTAGAAACTGTTGCTGCCGTTGTGGACCCTAAGGAGATGTTCAATCAACTAATTCTCTAGTCGATTCACAACAGAAATCCTTAAAGGAAAAGACCTTAGGCCAGGGTTTTCCAACCCGTGGGCCAGACCATTCTTTGCCATGAGGGATTGGGCTGTGGACTGTACGATGTTTAGCATCATTCTTCGCCTCTACCCCACTAGAGGCTGGTGGCGACCCCTCCCCAGTATCGAGACAATCAGAAATGCCTCCGTCATTGCCTGAGTCACCGTGGCTGAGAACCACTGCCGTGGGAGGTCCTTGAGGCTGGGCATGGCATAGGAAGTAGCAGTAACTCTGCTCCAAGCTAGAGTGAGCACCTACCCAAGGATGTCAGTTCCTAAACGCCATTTCATGTCTGGGAGCAAATGGCAAGTTTTGATTCCAGGAACACATGGTATAGTATATTAGTTGATTTCCTGCTGGAATACTAAAGGGCCCCCTTTTGTCGTCATTATTACACAGATGGTAGTGAAGGATCTAACCTGACTCACATATCAAAGAACGGACTGTCAGTGTCACTGGCCTCGATGTTCTCAGGTAGTCGACCTTGCAAGCGTGGATGTGCTCATAGACGCATGTGTGTGAATGTTGCACCAGCTTTTTCGTATATACTTAATCACGTGATAACTGTGAGGGTTACGAGGACTGGGGGTGCTGGAGAACTAGTTGGAAGAAACTGGAGTTAAGCCAGAACACTAAGCCAGGAACAATTCAGATACTCACCAATTCATCCTCATGTGACCCCAACGATCTTCCTCATCAAGTTTGTCCTTGGTGATCCTTCCCTACGGTGATAAGTTTAGATTTAGTGGCCATTGTGACTGATGGAGGTAGTGGATGGTTTAGAAAGGAATAGTTAGATGAAGAATTTTAGTTCAGACCTATCCTAAGCTCCTGCCACACATTCAGGCAGCAGAAGTAGGATAGAGTGGTATGAAGCTTAGTGTCTCTTTAGAATTTTGAATTTGCAGAGCCAGTGTTTAGAAAGCCATCTCTTCTGGGTACTTTGTGTACAAGTAGGATTTACTGCAGTAGATGTTTGTTCTTGTTTGGTGATCCAAACAAGTAGGTTTCCTGTAGGTGAGGTTAATGGAAAGAAAATAGTAGTTTTCTGCTCAGAATGACTTTAAAACACAAAAACAACAACAAAACTCAGAACTTTTGTATTTTTTTTGAGACGGAGTTTGGCTCTTGTTGCCCAGGCTGGAGCACAATGGCACCATCTCAGCTCACTGCAACCTCCGCCTTCCATTTTCAAGCAATTCTCCTGCCTCAGCCGCCAGAGTGGCTGGGACTACAGGCAGCTGCCACCACGCCCGGCTAATTTTTGTATTTTTAGTAGAGACAGGGTTCCATCATGTTGGCCAGGCTGGTCTCAAACTCCTGACCTCGTGATCTGCCCACCTCGGCCTCCCAACATGCTGGGATTACAGGAGTAAGCCACCACATGTGGCCCAGAACTTTTTATTAAAACTGTTAATATTGTTGGGCACTAGGAATTTGAAATAATTGTGTGAGATTAGATCAAGATTTAGAGCAATAAAGACAAATATTACAGGAGCTCCCATTTTCTCACTCATGTGGAAGCTAAAAAAGTTGATCTCGTGGAGGTGGAGAAGAGAGTGGTAGTTACAGAGGCTGGGGAGGAGGTGGGTTGGGGCATAAGGAGAGGTTGGTTAGTGGGTTCAACCACACAGTTAGAAGGAGTAAGTTCTAATGTTCAGTAGCACAGTAGTGTGGTTGTGGCTGACACATTGTATATTTCAGAATAGTCAGAAGAGATCTGAAGTGTTCCCAACACAAAGAAATGATAAATGTTCAATCAGTGAATATTCTAAATACCCTGATTTGACCATTACACGTTGTATGCATAAAATATCACACGTGCCCTGTCAATATGTACAAATATTATGGTATCAACTTAATGTTTTTAAGATTAGAGAAATAAAAGTAATTAGGCTGCTTTTTTTTCCTACTCCTAAACGACTGTCATTGATTCTCATGAGTCCTCCCTGCCTGAGGAGGAGTTCTCCTGACTCCCTTTCTTAACTGGTTTCCAGGGCGTTTAGTCCCAGTCCTTTGTGGGGGCACATGTTGAGTGTCAGCCACTTCTCCCTCAGAGCGTGTCCAATCTGCTCTCACCACCAGGCAGGCCTTGATTCGGTCTTTCTAGCATCCTTCTTTCCCCATTTTGGGGGCTTTAAAAAATTTGTATACACATGACAGGTTTTACATTAAGAATGTGAAATCTTTTTCTTTTTCTTTTTCTTTTTT